TGGCTCAAGCCTTGTGCAACCTGCTCTGGTGGGAGGTGTCCCTGCCCAGGGCAGGGGTTGGGGCTAGATGAGCTCTAAGCTCCATTCCAGCCCCTAAAATCCTGTGAATATTGGGTGTGCTGCTTTTCCCTAAGGTTTTGTCTAATTCATTGCTCAGGGTTTGGACAGGTGAACTCCAGGGAAGGTTTAAGGCATTTCCATCCTATCTGCCTGCTCAGCTTTTGCTAGGTGAACGTGAGCAGAACTTCAGTGTCCTGAGCAGCTCTTTTAACAGAGCTCAGGGTTGTGCTCCATGTTTTGCCAACAAGCTTTGTTGGTAGGTTTGAACCCTCCTGGGGGATCTCTGGAGAGTCCCACGGAGTCACCAGCTAGGTCTGTCCCTGGCGGAGCCGTGACCAGGTGTCACCTGCCTGTGACCTCCTTAGGACCCATAAGCCTGTTGCATGCAGACTGTGACTGTTCCCTCTGCTGCCCTGAATGTCCTCTGGGAAGCACCAGCACAATCCAGGCACAGACCCAGCCTCGTGCCCTGCCTCCCAGCCGTGCTGGTGGCACCCTGGCACTGCTGGCCAAAGCCACTGCCACCCTCAGCTTCAGTCCTGTCCATCGCTGCCCACACGGTGTCCCGCCCCATGCAGGTGGTGACCTCCCTCTCTGCTCAGCTGCTTCCTGCTTGGCATTCCATGTCCCCAGGCTGACGTTCCTGTGCCACCTCCCTGGTTGCACTGGTGTCAGCAGCTCCCCAGAGCCTCCCCAAGGGCTTTGCTGTGTCCCTGTCACACCTGGGAGAGATTTATCACCAAACCGTGTGAGATTTGCCCTTTTCTTGTGTTTTTTTGTGTCCTCCTCAGTTCATTTCAGAGCCCACAGCAGAGGTTTGGGTTTCAGGAGGTAACTCATGCCAGGCTGGTGTGTGGAGGAGAGTGTGTGGGCAGCACACACAGGCAGCTTAAAAATATTATTCTTGAGAGCAATATATGGTAAAAGTTCTTATTTTTGTCATAACTATTTCCTTGCAAAATGAACTAGATACTAATATATTTGATTTTTCTCCAGTAAAGTGTGAGGATTTCTGCCTCGGCCTCCAAGTAGAGACTTTCATGGGCAGTTTTGAAAAGAAGGAAGGTTTTGCCCCTGTTTGTATTAGGTATATTTGTAGCCCACAGTGCTCAGAGCTGTGTCTGTGTTTTTGGGGTTCTCAACCAGGCCCAGTGAGCCCTGCCAGGAACTGCTGAGCTCTGTCTCCTGTGCAGGAGCCTGGAAGCAGCAGGTTTAGTGAGAGCATCACCTCAGGAGGCCCCAGGAGCTGCCCCTGCCCAGGCTCCCAGCAGTGCTCCCAGGAGTCCATCTAGGGAGGGATGGAGTGACAGGGACATTCCCTCTCTTTGGCTGTGGGTGTAGGACAGGGGTGACATATCAGGTGTGTGACCCCCCAGGGGATCATCAAGGCAGTAGTCTGAGCACTGATCACTACCACTGTCTATGTGTTCACTTTTTCTCCTTTTCCTTTTATTTTTCACACATCTTCTGAGCCATTTCTAATCCACAAGGGCTGTTTGGCACTGTGAGCTGCAGGGACAGTCACTTGCCCAGGAAGATCCATGCTTGTACAGCCATCTGGGTGACCTGACGTTTTTATTTACCTTGTTTTTGATGAAGAAATAAGCTCTTATTGTTGATAACTCTGTGCAGTGTATCAGGGAGATCAGAAGAGTCTCAGATCCAGCACAAAAGCTGATGCTGCATCTGCCTGAGCCACTGCAAAGTGTTCCCTGTCTTCTTTGCATTCAAAGCTCAGTGGCAGAGCACAGCCCTCACACTCAGCACTCCTGAGCTCCACAAACTCCTCAGTAACAGCTCCATGCCTAAATTTACACATAAAAACCGAACCACACGTGGGGAAGTTTGGAGTTCTGCGTTTGAGCTTCTCTGGTGCCTCAGACGCTGCAGCTGTAAGAGCTCTGAACAGGCTGAGATAGATCCCAGTGATGTAAATGCTTCCTTAAATCCCTGCCAGTGCTAATCTCTTTGGAATAAAGACTACAGAGAGCCCTGAGTCATCCAGGAGCTTCTGTTGAGAAGGAGAAAATAGACTGATGGTGTCAGAGGGGAAGGAGGAGCAGGCAGGGCCAGGCAGAGATCTACAGAGAGGCAGAACAGTCTCCTTAGGAAGCAAAACTGGAGCTTTGGTAGATAACATCGTGTCAGAGCAGCCTATAAACAGCATTATTTCCCAGCAAGAGGTGCCAACTGTAGCTGTAAAACCAGAGCAGCAAATCCAGCCTCATTCCCACTGGGACACAGGGATTGCTGCCCCACTCGGGGGACTCTGGCCCGGGACAGTCAGCTGGCTCAGGGGGTGGCACTGAGGAGGTGTTGGCATTCAGAGGAGCTGTTCCTCCCGGCCTGGCTCTGCCCCTGGGCTGCTCAGGGATCTGTGTGGAGCCTCAGAGCTGTCAGTGTCCTCGTCTCGGTGTGGGGTGACCCCAGGATGTGCTGCTCTGGAGCAAACCACAGAGCCTCTTTGTCTTTGCAGTTATGAATGACATCATCTCCACCATGTTCAATAAGAAGTTCATGGAGGAGCTGTTCAAGCCCCAGGAGCTCTACTCCAAGAAGGCTCTGAGGACCGTGTACGACCGCCTGGCTCACGCCTCCATCATGAGGCTCAACCAGGCCAGCATGGACAAGGTGACACCACCCTCCTGCCCAGCCTGACTGCTGCTCTGCCCTCCTGCCCTCCACAAGCTCCTGTTGTGATAATTACCCTGTGGCTTCACTCTTGGGAAGCATTTTGGACCAGCCATTTCCATTGGTAACTGGTTCTTGGCCAAGGAAGCATTGGGGTATCAACTGCTCCAGAACTATTTCTGCTTTAATGGCTGGTTGATGTCAAGAGGTTCACTAAGCATCCTGGGAGGTTATCAGATCTTTTTATATACACCCCTCTGTGGGTGTGTGTGGATATCTGTGTCTGTACTGACACTCACTGTGTCTTGCAGCTGTTGGAATTATAGCCTGGATTTATAGCCTGGAATTACAGATAAGGTTCCCCTGAGCCTCCTTTTCTCCAGGCTGAGTCCCTCCAGCTCCCTCAGCCACTCTGTCTCATAGGACTGACTCTCCAGCCCCTTCCCCAGCTCCATTCCCTTAACTGGACAGGCTCCAGCCCCTCTGTCTTGAGGTGCGAGGCCAGAACTGGACACAGGGCTGGAGGTGTGACCTCCCCTGTGCACAGGACATTGGCAGTGGAGCCCAGCAGCGCTGGCAGGTCTTATTTTGCTAGGAAACAAAGGTTCAGTGGCTCCCTGTGCCACAGGCAGGTGCTGACCTGAGTGTGGTTCCCTCTGCCCATCCCCACGAGGTCACCTGAGCTGTGTCGCGCTCGGGGTGACGGGACCAACACTCGTGTTCCCTTGCAGCTCTATGACCTGATGACCATGGCCTTCAAGTACCAAGTGCTGCTGTGCCCTCGGCCCAGGGACATCCTGCTGGTCACGTTCAACCACCTGGATGCCATCAAGGATTTCATCCACGACTCCCCAGGCATTCTGAACCAGGTGGACGAGACCTTCCGGCAGCTGATCGAGGTGAGACCCCTCAGAGACGAGGGGATACCCTGTGGCTTGATTTTTGTGGGGTCTCACCTGTTCCAGGCTAACCCTAGAGACTAAACACTACCTGGAAATGTCTGTGGGTCAGGTGGTGTTTCATACTGGCCCAGTTTAAATCACTATATTGCTTACTCAGCCTGATTTAAGTGTCCACTGACTCAACAGAATTGAAATCTGACTCTTGGTCATGGATCAGAACTGCTGATAGTGACCAGCAGCCCCTTAGAGCAACTCTGCTTCCCCTGCAAGTGCATCAGAACATACTGGATAGCAAGACATTCTGATGGACTTGTTTCCCCCTTCCCTGGGTGGGACATGGGACAGCTGCAAAGCCTCACATGGTGGTTTTCCTTTTCCAGACATACAACCCTCTCTCTGATGGTGAATTCCAGCTCATCAGGCAAACTCTCCTCATTTTCTTTCAAGACATGCACATAAGGGTAAGGACCCAACACAACCAGGCAGAGGGAACGGCCGGGAGTTTGGGGCTGGAATACAAATGTGTCTACCAATTTAGAACTGTCTGATCTCCCTGCCTGGCATGTTTTTGCAGGTTTCCATCTTTCTGAAGGACAAGGTGCAGAACTCCAATGGTCGCTTCGTGCTGCCCATCTCGGGGCCTGTGCCCTGGGGCACAGAGGTGCCAGGGCTCATCAGGTGAGTCTGAGCTGCTCAGGGAGGAAGAGTCAGTCCCAGAGGTCCCAGGGATCCACCTCCCACTGCCATTCCCATGGCATGGATAGCTGGAGCTCCAGTAAATCCCATTTATAGGGCAGGATCTGGACTAAGGCACCCAGCAGTTAACTGCTGAGCTGCTGCTGGAATTCTCTGCCCCATTAAATTATCTCTCATTTATCCTATAAAAGAGGCATTTAGCAGCACAGGGAATAGTGTTTATTCCCCTGTGCAGGGAGCAGAGAAGTAGGTACTGGCAATCAGTAATACACCCAGTAAAGGTTTCAATAATGCTTTGGTTTTGAGGATGTTCAATCGCAAAGGAGTGGAGGTGAAAAGGACTGAGTTCATCACTGCTGGGAATTACATCACTCCACAGAGGGAAGGATCTTTTGAGCTTTATGGAGACAGAGTCCTCAAACTTGGAACAAATATGTAAGTAATTTTTGTCCCATGTGGAAACCTGAAGCAGATGGTGGTGGTTATGGAGGGTTCAGAAGCAGATCATCAGTCTGGGCTGGTTTTGCTGCTTTGGCTGTTACCAGTTTGACTTTGTGACTGTCCTGCACCAGGACACAAGTGGATTGTGTGTGCAAAGAGCTGTGGGAAAGGACAGCACTGATTTATGTCTACAGAAGAGCTGAGTGAGGAGTGTTCTCATCCGGTGCTGCATTTTGTGTGGGAAATGATTTAATTTAACCACACTCAAGCAATATCCTCTCTATTCCCCATGTTTGTCTCTCTGTGCTTTTCCCATTCCCTCACACCCCTCAGTGCCTCAGTACCCACCAAACTGAGCTGTGCCCTCTCACTGCAGCTGCTCAGTCCTCAGAAACATATCCCGTGCTGCTCCCTCTGGCTCCTGCACCTCATCCCAGTAACAGGTTGCTCCCCGTGGTGTGTTCTCCCCCAGGTACAGTGTGAGTCGGCCAGTGGAGACACACATGTCGGGATCATCCAAAAACTTGGCATCCAGTGCGAAGGTCAGTGCTGTCCATGTCCTGCCTCTGGTTAAACTGGGCAACCTCTTAGCCTCCAGGTGTGGGATAACCCCAGGGAAGCTCTTCTGTTGTTCTCAGAGCCTCATCCATCCTCCCTGGTCCTTTTTGAGCCAGGGAAGGGCACATTTCCCAAAGGATTCTCAACCTTATGCAATAGTGAACTTGCTCCTGATTTCCATCTCATCAGAGAACAAAGCTGAACTTAAAGATGTCTCAGCTGTTCAGTCTAGCTGGAAAATTATCTTGCCCTGGGCCTATAACAAATGCAAGCAACCATTTCCAGTATAGATCACTGGGTCTGTCCCAGAACACACAGATGTATTTCTGTCCCTCTGAAGGACATTTCTGGACTATCAGGAAACACCAAAGCCCTTGCAGCCTCCTCTCCCTGCTGACCTGCCCAAGGGACCTGTTGCTCTTTCCTGCAGGAGAACATCGTCCCCAACCCTCTTGCCAAAGAAGAGCTGAACTTCCTGGCCAGGCTGCTGGGGGGGTTGGAGGTGCAGAAACCTGGAGGCAGCGAGACAGGATTTCGGCTCAATTTGTTCATGACTGACGAGGAGGAAGAGTATGGTGGAGTCCTTGGTGTGGTGGTTGGGGTGCTGTGGGCAGCCCTGGGCGCTGGAGATGGACCTCAGCAGCTCTAGGGACACACCAGCAGGTTCACACTTGGTTAATCTGCTCCAGATGTGTCCTGTGGTGCCATTGCAGGGATCTGTGCTTGGTGTTCTAACCTGGTTTTAATCTCAACTAGAGACACTCCTGCTCTTATACACTTAACAGAAAAACATAGGGCAGGGAGAAGCCTCCAAACTGGGGTCAATTCATTAATTTGCCAAGCAGGATTGGGGTCATTGTCCAAATTCATGGAATCCCAGAATGGCTTGGGTGGGAAGGGACGTTAAGGACTCTTGAGTTCCACCCTTGGCATGGGCAGGGACACCTCCCACTAGCCCAGGTTGCCAACCTGGCCCTGGGGACATCCTCTGAGCATCCTTCATGCCTACAGGAGCCTCATGAAATCTGATTCTTATCTTCTCGTATGTCTTAATGAGATTAATCACTGTTATGTCTCTCACCCAGACATGCTGCACAGACCAGACCAGAGGAGTTGTCCTACAAGGTGATCAACATCGAAGCCACGCAGGTACGTGGGTGCTGCCCTCTCCCCTCTCACCACTGCCTTGCCAAGGACCACGGTCCACCCACAGCAGTGACTAAAAACACATTTTCCCCATTTCCCTGAAGCTTGGAAGTAAGGAATGGCAAATTTTCTGCCAGGCCTGTGCACTGGAACACTCAAATCCTGACAAGTATCAGAGCAAGTTTTGAGCTGTGTTGGATGGGAAAGGGCTCACGGTTAGGGTGAACAGTGGGCAGGGGGCACGTCCCAGTGCATCCCAATCCATCTCAATCCATCCCAGTTCAGCCCAGTCCGTCCCAATCCATCTTAGTGCATCCCAGTCCATCCCAGTTCGGCCCAGTCCATCCCAGTTCAGCGCAGTCCGGCCCATTCCCGGCCGCGGGGCTGAGCCGTGCCGTCCCGTCCCGCAGGA